CCAGCCAGGGGGGGTACGTTTTCATCAGCACTGTACACACCATTCTTACAGCAAGAAACCAGCTCTGATTTTTATTACAGCCCTTTTAAGAATACTGATTGCATCAGACCATACTGAAGAGCTTCAATATATCAGGTAATATTTAGGTAGGTCAGTGTAAGAGCTTCATTCCACATCACTTCTTGATTTATCATGAAGGCAGCTACCCGACGTATACAATAGATCACAGGGAAAACTGTCATCCATTTAGGCATGCAATGGGGGAGCAACAAAAAATGCAATACTGAAAATTTGTGCACGTAAATGGAACAGGGAGCTCATAATCCGGTTAAAACAATCTTGTTCTTCCTGCTCTCATTGTTAAAGCAAAGCAATCAACACACAACACAAAATGTAACTGTATAAACTGAAAGGTCATCGCCACGTTTTTTTTAAATCAATTTTTATAGGCAGATCTTTCTTCTCCTAGTATGCCTCACAGACAGTATCACCACAAGAAAAAGAAACATTTCCTCCCTTCAATTTATCATGGAACCACCTGACATAAGCTCCAAGCTTTATAAAGGAAGAACAGCCGGAAAGATAGTCACCAGCTGGCAACATCTACTTGCAATTTCTTGCTTTCGAACTGCTAGGTTGGCAGGAGCTGGAACTAGAGACAGGAGCTCACCCTGTCTTGCGGCACCCGGGTCTTGAACCGCTGAACTACTGACCTTCCACAGCCTGCAGTTCAGCGTCTTAACCACTTGAGCCACAACAGTATACTTTGTTCCTAATGCTGTTATTGTGCCATTTTTCCCCAAACAAAGGGAAAGGAACCTTGCCAGTTATAAGCATGAATGATTCTATTTAGTGTGATTTCCAGCTTGAGCTGTATTTAGGTTTAAGACAGACTTTTCAAAACATGCACTGGATGCTTATTTACCCAGAAAAACTTTTGATTAAGTTATGGACATCATTTGCTAAAAGAGTCCCCCCCCCCCCACCACAACCTACTAGGAAACACTCCTGGATGGCCTCTGAACAGACTGTCTGCCCCGAGTTCAATGCTTTTGGGAAGCTTTCCCCTCCCCTGCTTCCCCACGGCATCTCCAGAGATCCCACCCAGCTTTACTCCAGTCTATCTCAAACCTGCTTTGTTCTGAAGTTTTGGGAAATATTGCAGTAAAGCCAGGATGGCTGCTGTGTGAATGGAAGAACTTGGGATTCTCCAGTCCACATGGCAACCGTTTTCCCTGTCCTCACAGCAGCCATTTCCTCCTTCCTACATCCGGGGGAGGGTCTCTTTTTTTTTTTTACAAAAAAACCAGCACTAGAATATTGATATACCATTGTAATAACAGATGTAGCCGTTTCTCCAAATTCACAGCTTTCACTGCAAAAACAAGTAAGCCTCTGGCCCCTTTCCTTGCAAAGACGCTAAGGGAAAGGGCCTGTTTTTGCAACCCAATGGACTAGAGATTTAGTTTTTTAAAAGTGGAAGCTGGGAATTCAGAGAACCCACTACACCTATACTTGCAATGGTATATTGATGTAACAGTATTTTACTGTGGATTCTTAAAAAAAAATTTTTTTGCAGAAGCCCTGGCAGCCCAGGGGAGCTAGGTGGCTACTGCTGGGGGATGGGCTCAGGGAAGCTGTGGGGTCAAATTGCCACCTGAGAGCCCCATTGCTGCTGTGCTTTATCTGCAGCTGCATCAGCAACAAGGAAACCACTAAATCCAGTCCCTGTGCAGAAGACACCCTGCTGGAAGTTCCACCAGTGGTGCACTTAGGTAATTTTAAACTTAATGGAGCCCCCCTTAGTGGGGGACCCAGAAGGACTTGCATGGGGCACCTTATTCCCCCCCCATATACCCTTCCTCCACACTTGTTTCCTTTTTATTCTCATAATAACCCCAATACCCTTAACCTTTCCCTGATTCC